GCACCCACATGGCAGCTCACAACCGCCTGTAACTCTAGTTGCAGGGGATCCAACACCCTCACAGAAACATATATGCAGGCAAAACACCAATGCAAACAAAATAAAAATTAGAGAGAGAGAGTCCTGTTCTTATGTTTATTGTGCAATCTTTGAGCATAGCTATGGAAACAACCTCCATTGACAGAAAACAAGTTTTGAATTAGCTGAGATATGATTAAGCTTTAACTAGATTTTGTTTTGTTTTATTTTTTGGGGGCGGGGATAGGATTTCTGTGTAGGCCCGGCTGTCCTGGAACTCACTTGATAAACCAGACTGGCCTTGAACTCAGAGATCCACCTGCCTCTGCCTGGCAAAATATACCTCAACTTTTAGAAAAGGAGATGCTTGCTGGGCTGTGGTGGTGGTGCAGGCTTCTAATCTCTGAATTTAGCAAGGCAGGGTCAGGCTGATCTGAGAGTTAGAGGTTAGGCTAGCCTAGTCTACACAGGGAGTTCCAGGCCAGCCAGGGCTATAATAGACCCTGGATAAAAAAAATTAACAAAAATCACACACAGACACACACACACAGAGGAAACGCTGTGACACTGAACATGATAAACCTTAAGGATGTGCTGTCAAATAAGCCAGATGCAAAGGGATAAACTTCATGTCTTGCAAAATCCCAAAAATCCCACTTGCATTGCCCTAGAAGAGGAGTGAAAGACTGCCAAGGCCGGGGTAGTGGTAATGAACTGACACGTGAAGAATGGGTATACGGTTTGAGAAATCTGCTGCACAACTTGCGCATATAGGCAACGATGTTACTACATACGCAAAGGACCCATGGAGATTTCATGTTGTCCTAGCACCAAATTACACACGATTAAAAATTTTAGCCAGGCGGTGGTGGCTCATGCCTTTAATCCCAGCACATAGGAGGCAGAGGCAGGTGGATCTCTGAGTTTGAGGATAGTCTGGTCTATAGAGTGAGTTCCAGGGCAACCACGAATGTTACACAGAAAAACCTTGTCTTGAAAAATCAATCAATCAGTCAGTCAGTCAGTCAGTCAATCTTTGTGTGTGTATGTGTGATACAGTGCTTGTGAAAGTCAGAAGTGGGTGTCATCTGACTCTATGGATTGAGAGTTACATGTGGTTGTAAGCTACCTGATATGCCTGTTAGAAGCAGAACTCAGGCCCTCTGCAAGAGCAGCAATTGCTCTTAACCACCAAGTCAGTTTTTCCAACCCCTTTATTCAAAAGTCTTGACAAAAAAAAAAAATAAAAGAATATGCCAGGAACGTTGGTGCGCACCTTTAATCCCAGCACTCTGGAGGCAGATCTCTGTGAGTTTGAGACAATCTTGGTCTACAGAACCAAGTTCAGATCAGTCTGAGATTCACAGTGAGTTTATTTATTCAAAAATAAAATAAATTATAAGAAATGTAGTTGGCTAGCTGGCTTCTAACTTCCATTTTTTGGATCTACTTCAGTACCAAAAGGCCAATTTGTTGATTTACTCAGAGCCAGTACTTGCACAGAAGAGGGTAATATTAGGTCTCAGTTATAAAATACGCATAAAGTCTTTGCTTTAGTAAATTTGGGATTTTATTTTTCATATCAGGAAAGAGAACCAGAAATGTTTCCACCCCTGAGGCATAGTCAATATTTAGTTTTGTACTGGGGACGGGTTATCTTTACATCTTTGTATCCAAACATGTCCCACACAACATCCCTCAGTCATCCTCAATTCTAGTCAACCACCTACAACCCCCTGGTCTGGAAGTATTAACTGGAATATCCCATGAAGCCAACGGTTCCTAAGTTTTGTTATTATTTTTGGAACACTGAGGATGGAACCCAGACCCCTGTACAAGCCAAGTGTGCACTCCACCACAGAACTATACTCCATTTCATAAGTTTTAAATTGCACACCTCTGTGTATCAAGACAAAAATTCATGCTGTCCTGCTGCCCACCCCTAAGCAGTCACTGTCAGCTCATACCAATGCCGAGCATACTACTGTTTATTTGGGAGGGCCGCTCTCTTGCTGACTAGTCGGCTGCTCCAGCACTCAATGCTTGTGTCTCAGTAACCTTTATTTCACCTGATAATGGCCCAAAGCACAAGAATGATGACACGAGGAGGCACCATGACACAAAACACCAAAAGACAAATTAACTCTAGAAAGACTAGAATATACAGGATTCGGGACTGTCTGCTGTTCCATTAATCCACTGCTCTTGGGACATTAAGCTCCTTGGATAACGGATTATGAAATCCATTCTATCTGTGATGTGCTAACTGGGTAAAACAAGCATGAGGTAGCTAACAAAAATGGAAACCCTGCTGAGTTGTGGTCTCTGCAGTTGTAAAGTCTACAAAGATAAAGGGTTCTGCCATTCCTCTGATATCTTTAGGAGGCCAGAGGTCACGGGTCTTCCAGCAAAGGCACCCTATGAAATAAACGTGACTATACTTTTCATCACTTGCTATTAGGAAGCAAACACCACCTGGTGGATCACTCTACCTTAGAGAGGTGCCATAACCTACCCAGACACACTGCTTCAACGTTTTATATTCAATGATCGGGAGACACTACTAAATCTGAGTAGGCCTTACAGATTGAACTGTATGCAGCAAATCCTAAATGCACAACGTGCCAGTAGTAATGACACAGGGAATTTAAAAAAACCATGAAATCATAAGGGGCTCCCAAAATGTGTGAAGCAGGTCTGTGTAGTGTTAAGGAGTGGAACACAGTTGCCATGGGGTTGTAGCACCTAGTCTCTTCAAATGGGAGTGGGTGTAACTAGCACATCTGGCTTACAACACTTTCTTTCATGGGTCAGATAATGACTCCTACAGCGTATTAGTCAGGCTCCTACCCAGGCAGCACTACAGCAGCTAATGGGTAGCCTGCTCAGACTAGTGGGCTCATGAAGTCTGCACACCAAAAGCTTTCCCGTCTACTGCTTTTTCCTTTCCTTTGTATCTTTTCCTCAAAACTATCTCGACTACCCAGAGTTTACACCATGTATAAATGTCATAAACAAGCTGAGAGATGTTGGCACCTATCAGATGAGGCCTTGCTCTTGATCTATAGTCTTCCTGCACAACTGTATCTGACATAGGAAACTACCAAAAACAAAAAACAAGCGAAACCCTCCTGAACCTGTCAAAAGTCAATAGTGAAGAAGTTGACATTTACTGATCGTTTTATTAGTCTTCAGAACGCTGAAGAGATTTGATGACTTGCTGCTTTTTGCTTATCCTCAAGTGTCTTACTATAAAGGGTGGCTTTCAATTTACTGATTCAGTTGGGCTAACTTCATGGGATATCAACTCTTTATTCCTTTTTGACTGTGCTGTGTTACCAGGATCTCAAATTATGGGTCATTTCATAAGACATTCAACGTACTTATTCTTTAACAGGTATGTTTTCTTTCTACAAAACAGGACTTCTCCGCCTCAAAACTGTGGTACCCCAGTCTCAGTCTAGTAAGGTTACAGAATCTACATGAGAAATAATTTCAGGGCTGTGATATTGCTAGTTCTGGGATACTTCTCACTGGACTGCTAATTATGGCCTGCTACTTTAAGGTTCCACTGATGTGTATAGTTGGGTATGACAGTTAAACCTCTGGGCATGCCTGTGAAGGGTTTCTTAGATTGGGTAAACTAAGGTGGGATGCTCCCCTACCCTGTTCCCCCATGTAAATGCAGGCATCACATTCCAATGGAGTCCTAGACTGAATAAAAAGCAAAAGGAACACCAGCACTCTTGTATCCGCTTTCTGATGCACCATGAACAGCACATCCACCTTCACAGCTGTGACCAACTGCATCCCTTTGAACTGTAAGCCATTAACACACAAACACCCTTGCTTGAACTGCTTTGGTTGGGTGTTCTGTTACAGCAATGAGAAAGGTAACCAGTACACAGGTGCCTCACTATCACAAACATTGTTTTTCCACAACAGGAAATTTGGTTTTTAAGAATACATTTATTTCAGTGGTAGAGTGCTTGCCAGTATGGGCAAGACCCCATGTTGAATTTTTGGCAAATTAATCAGTAGTTTTCAATTAGTTGTCAATAATCAAATGCAGAAGACCGACAGTGTTAAGTACTCAACAATAGGTGAAGTGCTATACCATATCCTAGTAATCCTTACATATTAATCTAACAAAATTCATTTCTTTTGAAATAATACCCTACGTCACAGAAGTGATGTGTCCAAAGGCCTTGTAACCATTAATTGTTGGAATTGAAATCTGATGGGCTAGAGATGGCTCAGTAGTTAAGATCACTGACTGCTCTTCCAGAGGTCCTGAGTTCAATTCCCGGCACCCACATGGGAGCTCACAACTATCTGTAATGCATTCTGGTATGGACGAAGACAGAGCACTCGTGTACACAAATAATTTAAAAAAAAAAAAACAAACTTGAGATCAACCAACTGCCACAATTCAGCTTGTGTAGTGGCATTTAACTGTATTTTTAATAAAGACTGCCTGAAGATCTGAGAGTGAAAAGTCCTAATAGTTAGCCTAACAGACCAGATTATGGCAATATGCACCTTTAATCCCAGTAGCCATACTAGTTGCCTTAGAAACTGGATGGCACATGCCTTTAATGACGGTGGTGCACACCTTTAATCCCAGAGAGGATTATAAAATGGGAGGAAACACTTCTCAGAAACTCAAGTTTCCTTTTGAGATTCCTGAGGGCAGGATCACCATATCAGACTGAGGTCAAGGTAAGAGTCAGTGGCTGGCTGTTAAGCTTTTCATATCTTCAGTGGTGAAGAAAAGGACTCAGGAGACCATCCAACACCATCCAAGTACCTGCCTATGTGTGCAAAGGGGTACTCACTTCAGAATTAAAGGATATAAGACTTCATTTGCAGAAGACACATCATGGGAAAAACTCGGTTGAGCCTAGGATCCTGGACTAGGTGAATAACACATATGACGCCGTGGGTATACTAGCTGCTAAAAGAACACAACACTCCACATGTTTCATTTCCATCCAGTGCTTTTATTTTAGAAAAAGAAACCACACTGATTCCAACAAGGTAGAACTACTGGTTTCTTATTCTGCGTTATTCTTCCATTGTAAAAAGCAAACTCAAATCTGTCTTCATCCAGAATACCACTGATTATTTCAAGAAAACCTGGGGAAAAACAAAAAAAATCAGATTTTATAGTCTCTATCACGGGGATAAGAGAAAAGAGAAAGACAGGATGCCAACCAACATTACAATATATCACAAAACTTCAATTTTTGTTGTTATTTACATTCTTTGACTTGGTAATCCAAGTTAACAAAAATATATACTCTATAACTTAGAAAGTATTTAATGTTCATAAAATTTTAGTGAACATACCTATTACTATAAATAAATACAGGCTTCTTTCCCAAATTCTCCAGGAGAAATTATTCTAAATCCCTGAATACGTATATGGATCCATACATAATACTGTCAACAGTGCGCCTTTAATCTCAGCAAGTGGATGCTGAAGCAGGACAGCCTGCAAGATCCTGGTACTTAAGCAACACAATAAATGACTGCCCACCCAGGGCAACAAGGAAGATTCCAGCTCACAAAACCTAGAGGATACAAGCAGCACAGTACTACAGCTTTTGTTTTTCACTTTGCCTTTTTTCTTTCCTATAGTTGATAACTTATTTTAAGCAAATTATCTAGCTACGTATATTTTCTCAGAGATTAAGATATCCAGCAGGGTGGCTGGAGAGAGAGCTCCATGATTAGAAGCATCGGCTGCTCTCCTAGAGGATGAAGGTTCATTTCCCAGCACCCACACGGCAGCTCCAATGTCTCTAACTCCAGTTCCAGGGGATCTCACACCCACACACAGACATACAAGGAGGCAAAAATCAATGTACACAAAATAAAATTTAAAAATCGTCTTAAAAAAGATACCCAACAGGAATAACTTACATTTTTATAAAAAAATTGCAACCTGAGGTACTGAACAGTCATAATCTTTTAAAACTAGCAAGTTTTATAATTTTTTTTTGTTTTTGTTTTTGTTTTTTTGTTTTTTAGAGACAGGGTTTCTCTGTACCTTTGGAGCCTGTCCTGGAACTAGCTCTTGTAGACCAGGCTGGCCTTGACCTCAGAGATCCGCCTGCCTCTACCTCCTGAGTGCTGGGATGAAGGACGTGCGCCACCACCGCCTGGCTCAGGATTATTTCCTCATAAAGCTGGTCTCTAACTGTGTTGCTGCAGTCAGAACTGCACCAGCACAAGAAACTGAAGCAAGAATGAAAATTCTTTAATTCTCTTATTCTTGTCCCCTAAATTTTCAATAATGTATATATACAATAAGTTTTATTTCAGATTAATATTCAAGTTGGTTGTCTTTGTCAGCCTTGAATTTTTTTTAACATTTCTATATACTAGCCAAAATTACTGATTGGGACATAACTGTTTAAGGCGGTAGAATATTTTAACATTAGAACAATTCTTATTTAAAAAAAACAGGTGATATCATTTAAACAAATTTTAGACAACAAAACTCACTCCATATTAGACAGTTGTTCCACTATTGTGTTATCATTCACCATACTGATTCTGCTTGTCCCTCTTTTGGTTTTGAAACCTATAAGGAAAAGAAAGAACTTGAGATTATAGACTTCATCTCTGTGACAAACCGACTCATTTTCTGGAATAAAATGGAATGTGCAGAAGAGAGGCAGGTCTCATGGAACCAATGTTTTCTCCTTTGAGCAGATTTTCTAGAGAGCACAAAGGTGTCCTTGTATCTTTCCTTACTCAAAAGATTTTATTTTCATTATATCTGTCTGTGTGTGTCTGTGTGTGTGTGCACGCACACGTGTGCACATCAATACAAGTGAGGGCAGATGCCAGCTGAATCCTCTGGAGCTAGAGATACAGGTGGTTGAGAGCCACCTGACATGGGTGCTAGAACTGAGGAAGACCCACACTCAGGTCTGGAAAGAACAGATAGCACTTTTAACTGCTGAGCCAAGTAAAAGCACTTGTAACCAGTAAACATGCATACAAAACCATCCAGAGGTGGTTCCCTACAGATCAGCTTAGCTTGCTTACCCGGGGTAAGTACAGCTCCACTGCAGAGAATGTGCCCAGTGACTATGGATGGATGGAAAAGAATGAGTGGTGTATAATGTAAGTAACACTTTAGAGTTGGGGTTTATCTCTGGCTCTGTAATCTTGGGAAATCTTTTTGTAATTTATTTAAATTATTGTGTTCATTATGCCAGCACATGAACATGCAGAGATCAGTGTCCTTTAGGGAGTTGGTTCTTTCCTTCCACCATGGGCTCCAGGGATAAAGCTCAAGTTCAGGAGTTAGAGGGCTTGCCTGAGGACGTAAGAGATGGCTCAGCGTGTAAAGGGGCTGGAAGTGCAAGCCTGACTAACCTGAACTTGAATTTAAGACTACATACAATAATCTTTACAAACGTCTATGGCAGGTATTTGTAGACCAGGAACTCACTCTATTAGACTAGTGGCCTTCACAGTGAGTTCCACCACCGCCAGGGCTCACACAACAAAGAAAAGCAGCAAGACAACACCAGGAAGTAAAAATCTTGAGGCATCAGGGAAAATGAGAGGGGAAAGAGGAAAGGGGAGCAGAGAGAGAGATACAAACACTGAAATGAGGAATGAAAAAGAGGACAGACTCAGAAACATGAGCAGGAGAGAACAGACAGGCATGCAGAGAGCCTCGGCCTCCCACGTGCTGGGTCTGAAGGCCTGTACCACCACAGTTGGCTTAAATATTATGTTCTTTATCTACCCCTGCAGTATTCTTACTGAAGGGAGAGGTCTTAATTCCATAAACTAGTTTAAAAATAAAATCTACATTCAACATAATGTCTGCCATCATTAGGTCAGTGTGTTTCAATGTGCTGGGGATAATTTTACAAAGTGCTAGCAATTTTTCAAAATAAAGACTGGTAATGCATCAAGGTCAAATTCAACCTTAGTAGAGAATGGCAGATGCCGTGTCTACATCCCACCACAGGATGTAGCAAGGTGCCTTCACAGCACTGCTGTCAGTCTGAGGACACATTCCGGCTGGAAATAACTTACCATTCACAGTAAGGAGGCAGCCATCCCAGTCCAGCTCCACTTGGTGTGTCTGTCACCTGCTATCTTCTCCTATGCAGGGCTAATGTCAATGGCCACTCTCAAGAGTTCCTTTCTCTGCTGCCACCTACCCGTTTATCTCTCTGCTGCAGCAGAAGGGCATATAGAAAAAGGCCTTGCTTATTGTTCAAATTAAACAAAAGCTTTAACATTTCATATTTTCGCATGTGAATCAACATTTCCATATCTTGCCCATCCCACCTCATTAATCAGGAAAAAAAAACCCAATCATAGTAAATCAAATAATGTATGATCAATGTTCATGCTAAGCTGGGAAAATTAAAAAGTAGGAAGAAAGGAAGAGGAACGATTATACACTCGGTCATTATCTCACAAGAGCCACATTCTGGTCTGTTATTTTTCTTCCAGATGCATCCCTATAAGCTATAAATAAATACATGATTTAAATGGTAACTAGGTAGTTTACAGCTCCTACAAATTCCAAATCCAGAGACTACCCAAAGAACCACAGAAGACACATCAATATAAAGCCTTTAAAGTAATTCTAGAAACTAAGGGTATTAGGTGCTTTACCTGCTTGAGATTTCAATGTTCTGGACTGCTTATTGCCCAATGGCTCTGAATAAAATAAAACACGAACACATACGCCACCTACATTTAAAATAGGGTAGCATTTGTATGCCCATAAGCATTGGGTATTTCGTTTTGTAAAAGAGTTAATATTCATTAAGTTCCTTAGAAAGGACTGCCCATGAAGTATATTTCCTTAAACTAATATATACATAGAAAAATTAGGGGGAAGGGAAAGAATGACAAAATAGTATTTATAAGAGAATTGGGAATTAACATAGCATAATGTCTAGTGTTTTCTAAAAATCTATGATTCACTTCTATTCTCATTCTTTGTCACTGGAGCCTACATTTGAAATTGATATCAGACACTAAGGAACTATATCCAAGAACAGACTAGCAATAATAATGGCTTATTTTTTCCACCCTCCCATTACCTTCACCCCAAATAAATGTACATACAGACTTGCCAACTTAAACAATAAACACTGACATAAGCACCAAAAATCTGATCAACAGCAGCACTGCAATGACATCGCTTCTACTTTCTCATTCCTTCCCCCATCTCAAACCCCACCCTTTTGACCTCTGCATATGGGATGAGCCTGAGCAGGAGGAAGTTGGTGATGTCAGGACTGCGCCGTTCCCACGGATGCTCCTAGAGGCCTGCTGTGCTTCTGGGAACTGAGGCACAGGGATGTCTGTCTGACTGAAACCTAAAACAACAACAGTTCACCCCACCCCTCATGTCCCCCCAACCCCAAATAGCAGCCAGGTAAATATACTATATTATATAAGGTCCACCTAGTAAGTTTGAGTACGATAAAATCAAGATTCCTTACAAGTCAGCAGTATCTAATGGGGCATCAGAATGGAGGTTGTTTAACCTCTCCACACCCTGTGCAATGCAAACATTCTACTGGTGGCCATGCTCATAGGCCAGAACAAAAAAGGCTGAGAGTCCTTCTCAGAACACCTCATAACATCCCTACAGGAGTGCAGCTTGGATTCCTGGACAAGTAAATTTCAGTTCAGTTCAACATCTTAAGATGCCAGAGGATGTCCCTGTATCATGTGTCAACCGAAGCACAGAATAGACTAATGATTTACTGTAGAGAGCACTGAGGCCAGGGTTTCTTATTCACTAACCAGTGGTCTGCTGAATGTATACATTCTTTGTGGAGGGCAATAAAGGCTATCAGATAAAATTATGCAGACAACATAGGGATGGTGCTGGCTACTGTCTCTGAAATCCTTTATTAAAGAGAGATTAATATGCCCCAATAAAATAGAAAACTAGCTTTCAGAGTGAAACATTAGAAAGGGCAGGAAAGGAGAAAACAGTAAGCAAACTAGGATAGTTAAAGTAAAGTGCTAACTAACAGAAAACTACCAAATTGTAACAAACTGCATTTCCATTCTGCCACTAACTTTCTTTTACGATCTTGGCTAATCTGGTTAACCATGCTGTGCTTCAGAAATACTCCCCTATATGTTCGAACTTACAATGTATACTCTTTAGAATAAGATAATCTTCAGCTACTTACATATCATCTATTAGGGTTATTGTATCAGAAAGGCTACTGTGATCACTTCTAAAGTGACTATAATGCTCTATTGGTTTCACAAGCCCCTTACACGTCACTAAGGCCAACTCAACACTTCAGTGTACTTTAAACCATATAGATAAACCTAGAACCTAATTTACTTTACACAACTCTAGTTTTCCATACCTGTCAACTCCTAATTGATGTCTTTAAATTGTGAGCTCACTGTGTATTCGGAACACCAACCCCTGAAAAAGCTTAAGCCAGAATAGGACAAAGGAAGAGACAAACAAACCCACAAAAAAACAAAGCCAAAGTCACCCTGAAAACTTAATTATAGACATAAATGCAAGGAATGGAGTCTCTAAACAGCTAAATGAAATCCCAAATGTTGAGTTCATCCCAATCAATTCAAACTTTATCCCAAACTCTTCTTTAAATTACTTGCTATTACATTTATGTTTTATTTGTAAAAACCAAGTTATGATAAACTCATGTTTGCCTTTAACGTATAATAGAAAGAAAACTTAAAAAGTAAAATGTTAGCCTTCTGATGGAAATAAAGGAGACTCCAATTACCTGCTAGCAGGCTGGGCTGTGGCTGGTCCAAGCCGCTGCACTGAGTGCCCACTGCAGAGCTGCATTATTGGGGGAGGGGAAGTTTAGAAGGGCACTGACCCCAAAGCTCTCAAAACTCCTCACTCAGCATCAGGAAGGGGGAGAAGGAAAGTGTTTTCTCTGAGTATTGTTTGTTTGTTTGTATTTGTATATTTTGGCTCCTGAAAAGGCTGGCAAAGAACAGTAACAGTGCAAGCAATTAGAATATTTCTTCAAGAACAATTATAAAAATGTAAAACATTAAGGAATTTTTAAAAAACCAAACTTTTTAAACATTGAAACAAATTTCACTAGAGTTAGGCAGCCACCTCAGGAGGCATGGCAAAGTACACTGGGATAAAGGAAATAAAATACCACACAAACCCCAAAATGAAATGAAAACATTTCAAATCTAATCTAGAAGACTAGATGATTCCAACAGCAGACTTCTGTCCATCATTAAAACATTCAAAATCCAAGGTACCTAGATTATATTTTAAGCGAAACTTTTTTAAGAAACAAAAGAAAGCAGTGAACCTGGTTATAAATCCTGTGATATATTACATTTTTTAAAATCCTCGCACAAAAGTAAATTTTAAATCAACCCAAACAAACAGACAAACAAACAGCAGCAGAGGTTACCTGTCTGAGCACCTACATTTTCTTAGGAGGGGATCGTGTCTCACCAGCCAAATAGCCCATAAACCTTCTCAAAAACAGCGAACCAGGAGAAAAATATAACACAAGATTTGATTTCACAATGTCTCTAACACCCCCATCCCCAAGCTGGGGGTTCACTGAGAAGAGATTTGCTTTTCCATTGTTTTCCTTCTTGAGAAAAAGATGATTGGTAGTCAGTGGCCTTTTCCAATGCCTTCAGTGTTTTCTCTTAAAGTCTGATAAAGTGCTTAATGAAAGCAAGTCTCTTGGGTTTCTTTCTAGCGTTCCAGGGTAGTTTGTTATTGATAGCATAAAGAAAGATTTCAAAGTTCACTGGAGAAATGCCAGCAGAAATGACCAATTGTAAGTATCAAAAGAAAAAATACTTATTAGAAATTTTAAATGGCATAGTTCATATGTATAGATCTAGTGAGTCCAAATTTCATCATAGATAACATAAAAAACAGAATTATTAAAAATACAATTAACAATTACAACTTTAACATACCAAAAAATTTACAGTAATTCAGATTTTTGACATTATTACAGATTTAATACATTTTATCTCATAGATGAAGATTATACAAGAGTTATAAAAACAATTACGAGAATAAGTCAACTATCACTTCAGAATGATTTGTTCTTATCTTTACCTTAATGGAGAGAATTCAAGATGACCAACCCTGTTGTGTTCATTCTACTGTGTGAGTGTTGATACCCAGAAGATGGTTGGTGAAGAGCTACATTTCAACACTATGGATGATGCCCAGTGGCTGCATCAACAGGGAGTGGAACTACCAGTGAAAACTGGCAAATAGTGCTTGGTTTAAAATAGATTAACTATAATTTTTCTGTTTCTTTATCTCACCATGGATTTACATGTATATCATAATGTATGTGGCAACCAGATAATCTATTTTAGGATCTGATCACACAACTCAAATATTACTCTGTACCAAATAGTATGCGCCCTCCAAAATATGATCATTCAGCAAAGTACCAAGTACTTTTATTCTGTTAGTGAATCAGAGGTACTTATGGCTCCCAATGACCCTGTGCAAACCAAATGGTGCAGATGCAGTGAGAGTATCCTAAAATAAAGTAGAACTCATTATGTGTCTTTTCTGAGATGAAATGAGAGTTCACAGAATACAGGTACTATTCTAGTTCAACAATCAACCTTTCACTCCATTTTAATATTATTTAATTCTATGGGGGTAAATCAAGTTTCATTACATTCCTTTTTAAAATGGGAGAAAACTGTACAGTTAATCATGATCAAACCTGTTAGAGCTGGATAATACTCATGTTTTATTATCATCTTCAAGTCTCTAAGTAATGTCCAAGAAATTATGGCAAGGTCCATCTGAAAGGAAGCAGCACTGGAGTGGCAAGAAAAGCTTGGGGAAGCTGCAGAGAATTTGTAGGGAGATGGAACTTGCTTGTTAAAAAGTAAGATGAACCTGTAGCATCTCCATTTCTTAACACATCTTCCAGACTCAATCACTGGATTAGCTTTATCTTTGTCTTAAAGGCTCATATTATATGCAGATTGGGGGGCTTTCACCAGTTTAGAAAAGGAATATAGAGTAGTCAGTACTGAAGGCTTAAGAATAGGGCTCTGAGACTCAACATGTTAAATAAATCCCAATTAAACATCCACTTTACCTCCCTCCAAATCTTAAGTGTATAAAGAGAAAATGCACAACCATAACATTAAGTGTGTAGTCTTGGAATAAGCCATACGCCAGTCTACAAATAAACACACACACACACACACAAAACCTAAGAAACATCTACTTTCCTATTGTTTTTAGGGGAGTATCTCTACACTATCAGTGTCTAAAGCAATTCAATTGTTTTCTTTGTTTTAAGGAAGAACTGTTTCCCATCATGCCATTCTCTAGAATCTATTCTTTCTGTTTGGTGTAAACAACAACAACAAAAAACCACGTACACTTGCATGCAACATATATATAAACCCTTCTAAATTGTGAAAAATGCAAATACAAAAAAATAGCATTAAGAATTCACTTCAGTTTTATACCTAATGACATTCACTTGCCTCCCAAAAATGATGTCCCTGTACTTATCCTTTAAATGTTCAACTCATCAAGAGAAAAGTGGGGCAGGAAGACTTTTAAATGTGTATGTTGAGTCAGTGTCTTGTTAACCAAAAAAGTAGCATTTTGTTTACTTTGGCCATGGTTAAAGATGAAGTCATAGAGCAAGGGATGTTACCAGCATGTATTAAAAATGCAACATTAACAGAGCATATATCTTTCAAAAAAGACTAAAACACTAACAAATACAAGTCAATGCACAAACTTTAACTAGTGTAACTTTATCTACATTGAGTGTTACTTTGTATACCAGACATTGCAATACTGTTCATTTCCTTTTCATCATGCAAACATGCCAATTTTGTTAATAAAAATCTTTATTGGAATATAGTCACATTACCCTCCCACCCAAATTAAGGGGGAAAAAACAAAGACGAACATGAAAATGAGAAATCCCGGTCAGAGTCCCTTAAGAGTAGAGTCCATAAACAACTATGTGCATTTAAATGCTAGCTCAGAGAAACGGCAGAATTTTCAGATTGTTACTAAAACATTTCTGTATTTTAAGCAGATGTTTCTTCTTTACAAATCTTGAAACTGTGTGAAGTCATGCTACTAGTACTCGAATCAAAACCATTCTACATAAAAACAAAAGCAAGAGACCATGGGAAAAGAAACCTTCATGTTCCTCATGGCCCAAGAGCAGGGTTTTAGTAACTGAAACGGTTAGCAAGAGAGCCTGCCATTTCTCTGCGTATCACCTATTCTTCCTCTCTGTAGAATCTGTAAGTCAGGTAAGTATCCTATAGAAGACTCATCTATTTTCCCTTCTTTTAACCAATCTTGCTATACATTTCTCTCAACCTCCTGAGCATTCTCCATGAACAGCATTGCAAGTTGGTTAAAGGGGAAAGGGGATGGGGTGAGGGGAGACAGTTTTACAAGGGTTTTGTTGGTTAATTATTTACCGGTGGAGTTACTCCACCAGGAGTTTGATTTCATTGGCTAGCAGCTGGTTCATGTTGAACAGCCCCCCTGGGAGCTTGGTGAGCAGCTCCCGCTCGGTGGTGCTTTCAGGGTCACTATCGACAGAGCTGGAACTTGCGCTCATGCTGTCGACAGCAGTGCTGGCAGGGGGACCGAGCTCCGGCTCACTAGTCTCACTGGCCGTGGACACCACAGAGAGCAGGGACATGCGCCGGGTGAGCCGGCCAGCGGGCAGAAGGGAGGCAGCATAGTCTGCTATGATACCAGCTACATCTAGATTACAAGCCTTATCAAAGGCGATGAAACCTACATTTGCATTGGCCTCGCAGACACAGAAGGAGCCGTCATCTTTCATCAACAGGTCAATGCCACAGACATCCATCCCCAGGATATTAGACACCTGGATAGCTAGCTGCTTCCCTTGTTCACTCAATGAGCACATCATCCCCACACCACCTGGCAAATAAGAGGAGAGAGTTAGCAACTCTTCTAAATGGTTAATCAAACAACGAAACAATACTAGTAGTGTGGAACTGGTTTTGTTTCATCCTATTAAGACTAAATCATAATTCTTTAGTTCAGACCTCCTCACACTCAGTATCCCTTGCCTCAGTCCCCAGAGTGCTAGCACTACAGGCATCCACTACCACCACTGGCTTAAATTAACTTTTTAAATACGCCAGAACATAGATTAAAGAAAAGTGAGAAAGAATTTCCAAGAGAAAGTCTTAGACATTAATCTTTTCTTAAGATTTATCCTGCCTGTAACATGGACCAATATCCCTGGGCTGAGAACCTCCCATTTCCACCAGACACCAAAACCTACAAATCACAATCTCTCAAGAGTTTGTAGTGCCTACAACCTGCTGCATTCTTTAGATCAGCTCTACAGAACAATACCTAATACAATGGAAACACCCAAGAGTTGTTAAAACGTTACTGCTTAGGAACAATAATATGTTCAATGCAGATGCAACCATTGTAGGCTCAACTTTCCTGTCCATAAACTCAATTGAAATGACCCTCAAAGAGTGCAGGGAAATGATGAGGACCCCAGGGGACTGAAGTGGAGAAGGACTGAGTATTACTCGATTCCCGCTGATGTAGCAGTGTTGGCTTCTACAGAGTTCTGCTTTCAGGAACCTTTAGGAAGCAACACACACTGAGCAATAACCACCAACTCTGGATTGTTTGGCTGTTTCAGTATTTTAAGTCCTCAGTTAAACCATTTGAGTCCACAAATATGGAAGACTATGTTAAAATGTTGTATAAATATAATTATACTATCTGATTTTTTTTAAAAAATAATTTACTTATTTTTATTTCATGCCCATTTACTTATGCTTTACCTTCGTGTAGGCCTCTGTGAAGGTGCTGGATTCCCTGAAACTGGAGTTACAGGCAGTTATGAGCTGCCATGTGGGTGCTGAGAAAAAACTCAGGTTCTCTGGAAGAACAGCCAATACTTTTAACCACTGAACCATTTCTCCAGTCCACCAGCTGATTTTATATAACAAGGGGAGAAGCCCAGCGAAATTGTGAGTTTGAGGCAGTCTAGTATATAGAGCAAGTTCCAGGCTAGTAAAGCCTACATTGTGAGACACTGCCTTAAAAGTTAATTTAATACATACATAAAATAGGAACAAAAGATGTGGTGCATACTGGGAATATGGCAACCCAAATAAGGCACTCTTTCTCTATGGGTTCTATTCCGAAGAAAAAAGGCTTCTGAGTTCTCAGATTACTAATCAAATAAAGAGGTAAGGCTTGAGCTTTGCTAGTATAGAGTGAGAGTAAGGAACCATCATCTTCACTTGGAGCCTAGCTTTAAGAAGACTAGAAAGCACAGAAGCCTGACAAGACTTCGGGCATAGCAGCTTTGAACATCCATAGGAATGTCATGCATAATGACAAAGCAGACAGACCAATGAAGCTAAATCCTTACTACACATAGGTTGGAAAGATAAGAAGAGTCCAGGAACCAGTACCGTCTCCCATTACCTGGAGGACTAAAGCAATAAGAAATGCTCCAAAAAACCAAAAAATTTGAATAAGCCCATGACAAGATAAATAACTAATAGAAAGAATACTCTGAAGAAATCCAACTTCAACAACAACAACAACAACAACAAAAAGTTGTGGGCCTTTTTGTTTTGTTTTTCAAAACAAGGTTTCCCTGTGAAGTTCTGACTGTCCTGGAACTCTCAGATGAGGTTCGCCTCAAACTCAGAGATACACCTGTCTCTGAAGAGCTGGGATTAAAGGCTTGCACCACTGCACCACTACTGCCCAGCCAAAAAGATTTTCTGAAACTGAAACAAAATGATTAGCAACTCAACATTCAACAGAGGAAACGAGGATAGTACAGTTGTTTTTCCATTAGCACAGTGTCTGCACCTGAATCCACTGCTGTTTCAGCCAGTAATTGTGGCTCCACAGTCACTTTTACGTCTCAACACCCGCCCCTCCTGTCGATGCCACCAAATGTAGTTTTAACTAAACCTCTACTGTTCTATTTATCAATAAGACCTGGGAGTCAACCTCTGCTAGCTCAGAGGTTGAGAAGCAACTAACTGACTTCCCTCTTTGCTGGTATCTCAGAAAGAGAGCATCTTTCTACTCTGCCCACACCAAAGACCACCCTACTCAAAGTCCCTCCCTACTATTTCTGTGCATCTCTCCATCTTCGATTCACTGACTCTGATTGCTGTCAACCAGTTGCTAGCTCTTCCTCATGACCCCCAAGGCTTATTTTATTTTACTAATACAAATGCAAACTCATTGTTCACAGTATGATTGAACATTGCTGTGAGATAATGCTTTTGTACACTGTAATGATTTATTACTCGTATTGGTTTAATAAAATTCTGACTGGCTAGTAGCCAGGGAGGAAGTATAGGTGGGGCAACCAGACTAAGAGAATTCTAAGACCAATGGGAGAGATGCAGCTGCCAGCCAGTCACCGAGAAAACAAAACATGTAGAAAATGAGGTAATGCCAAGGTCATGTGGCAATACACAGATTAATAGAAGTGGGTTAATTTAAGACATCAGAGCTAATTAATAATAAGCCTAAACTAATAAGCCAAACAGCTTAAAATTAATATAAGCTTCTGTGTGTTTCTTTGGGACTGAACAGCTGCTGGACTGGGCGGGACAAACACTTCTTTCTACAGAATATCCCACAACTTACAGTCATTTATGAAAGTTCAGAGAAGCAGGTGTGGTGAAAAGATAGCTGAGAGGCTGAGGCAGGAGAAAAGTTCAGTCTAGGATACACAGTGAGTTCAAGGCCAGACCCTGTCCCTGTCTCAAATAGAACAACAAAAAACAAACAAAAAGAAAAGCAGAAATAATCAAATATAGAGAGAAGCACAGACAAAAAAACTTATAATGAAATCATAGAACAAAGTAGGAAATCTGGAAATTGAATCAGAAAATAAATCTTCCAGAAGGAGATACTACTCTTATAGAGAACCCAGATTCAATTCCCAGCACCCACATGGAAGCTCACAATTTCAATTGCATTTCCAGGGGATTCAATGCCCTTTTCAGGTCTCTGTGGGCACATGGTGCATAGTCAAAACATATATATTATATATATATATATATATATATATGGAGAGAGAGAGAGAGAGAGAGAGAAAGAGAGAGAGAGACAGACAGACAGACAGAGAGACAGAGAGAGCGTGCCAGGCGGTAGCAATGCAACATTTAATCCCAGCACTCAAAAGGCAAAGACAGATGAATCTTTGAGAGTTAAACCCAGCCTGGTCTATAGTATGAGTTCCAGGGCTACACTATGTAGGTGGGGCTACACAGAAAAACCCTGTCTCAAAAAACCAAATCAAACCAACAATAAAAACCACTTTATAACAAAAAAAAAAAAATAGAGAGAGAGAAATTTTCTAGAACTTGTAAAACCCAAGTTAACAGTGGGAATGGTAGCCACATGTGGGATCATGTGCCTTTAATCCAAGCACTGGGAGATGTAGCAAAGCCCACTTTGATGGCTCAGTAGTTTAAAGCACTCGTTGCTCCTGCAGAGGCACTAAGGTGACAAGGGGGCCAATGGAAGAAGAAAGAGGCAGGCAAGGAAAGCAAAAGTGGTGGTGCATGAGTAATATACATACTAGCATGAAAATCTTCAACAGAAATGAAAAAAATTGTTACCACAAAAATAAAATCAGTTCATAATTGGTGAAATCTGATTCAATAAGACAACTAACAGTGACGGTAGGACTACAGTGGAAAGCACAGTCACGCCACATACCAACACAAAGACACTACATTGTCTTTACCTAGTGAACAATTGCTTTGCATCCTTCCATCTGTCGAACAACGTAACATGGTGCCAACGACACGGCCTCCAACAACAATGACTCGTACGTCCTTTCCATGAGACTCTTTAATGTATTTCTGGAATAGATATGGAGCTTCATGCCGAATAAGATGGCTTAGATCAGCTAAATGGTGTTTATCTCGTGCCAAAAAAACAGCTTTACCTAGGATTTAAAAAGAATAAAAATATACAATATATGCAAGTCATGAGACTGTGGATAGTGATAAACATACATTCATGGGTCCCAATATACTCTTTCAGAACCAATTATACTTGTATGCTTTTAGATTATTCTTTGCTGTAACTAAAAACAAAATGATTTAATTATGATTAGTAAGATAATATAAATCTTTATGCTAAGAAATAAGTTTACAGGTTTCTTGTACACTATTAAAGACAGACAAGAATTATGGGTTAATTTAAGTTGTAAGACCTAGTTAATAATAATCCTGAGCTAACAGGCCAAACAGTTTACATATAAGCATCTGTGTGTTTCTTTGGGACTGAATGGCTGAAGGACCAGGCAGGACAGAAACTTTCATCTACACTTGAAGAGTCAAAGTTCAGCCAACTAGGTTTCCTAGAAAGATGTATTTTAAGATTTAAAATGCTTTTAATGTCACTGTGCTTTGGAGAGTGCTGAGTGAGTTCATATTTAAAACATTAAGGGAATATGTATTGCTGAAGTAAAACACTAACTTGAGATTTAGTCATGCATGTAAAATCTCTACCACAACCTCTAACCAGAAAGAAGTATCTCACCAAAGCGAACTTGTAGAAATCCAGAAGTTTGTGATCCCAAACACTTGTTAGTTGCTCTTCAATTGTTAATTTGTAAAAGTGACTTCAAAAGTATGTAGCGCATCAAATTACATACCTCTATGACCCCTTGTGTTCTTCACTACCATTGGGAACTCCAGGACTTCTGCTTCATCAATCATTTTAGCAAAATCTTCATGGCCACCTGGTTTGAGAAAAAAATAAGTATAAGACTAAGTATGCTGGGACCAATTTTAAGCACAGGACAAGAGAGGTGAAGAAATGGACTGACGACTAGTAAATCAAACCGACCATCCATTAAAAATAGCACCTTTGGGGGCTAGAGATGGCTCAGTGGTTAAAAGCACTGGCTACTCTTCATGATGACCTAGTTCGATCCTCAGCACCCACGCAGCAGGTCTCAGCTGCAGAGGACCCCCACTTCTGACCTCCACTGACATCACTCACCTGGTGCAGAGATATATGCAGATAAAACACCACACACACAAAATAACGTGTATGTGAGAGAGATTATCTGCACCTATTGTTTCACGTGTTCTCCTCTAGTGATTACATGGTTTCAGGTCTCTCTGAGATTCTAACCACTTCTGAAATGACTTTTCTGCTCTCTGTCTCTCCTGAAGAGGTAACTTCTGCTCTCTCTCCCCCTCCCCACTCCCTCTCTCTTCTTCCCCCTTTCCTTTTCCCTCCATAACCCACTAAATAAACTCTATACCCCCCTCCACCCCACAAAAGAAATGAATTTTTCCGCAGGGTGAGACATAGGGATTTAGTTGTTTTTACTTGTAACTATATAGATTTCCCAGAATGAAATTGTCTGTTTTCTGTGATGCTTGTTCTTGGCCATTCTTTCTGCTGACAATCAGATGGCTGTAGCTATATGAGTCCTCTTAATATTCCATGAACACATTAGTGCCTCTGTTTGTAGGACCAGGGATTTAACCCACAGTTTCATACATGTTAAGCATGCACAGACGACCACTGGGCTGTATCTCCAGACCTCTTTTTATTTTTCACTGTAGACAGAGTTTCACTAAGGTGCCCAAGCTGGCCTGAATTCACTGTGCAGTCCAAGCTGTGCTTCAGCATGTGCTTCCCCTGCCTCCCTCCTAAGCAGCTGGGGTTACTGCCCTGTACCACTATGGTGCGGGAGAATTGTCTGTATTCTGTCAATCATGTTTTAAATAAACGCTGATTGGCCAGGCAGGAGGTGTTAGGTGGGAAAACCAGACAGGAAGTGGAAATGATGCAAGGAGAGCAGGAGAATTCTGGGGAAGAGGAAGTTGATTACTCCCACTTCTGCCCAGACCACCAAAGCAGCAGGATGTGATTTGCCCCACTGAGAAAGGTACTGAGCCACATGGCTAACATAGATCAGAAAAATGGGTTAATCAAGATGTGAGAGTTAGCCAGTAAGAGGTTAGACCTAATGGGCCAATCAGCTTTATAATTTCTAGAGATCTCTTGTGTGATTTTTTTTCCTCTGGGACTAAACAACTGGGGGGGGGGGCAGGTAGGACAGAAATCCCCAAACAAACAGGACCCTTCATGTTACAGATGGTGCCCATGTGGATAACTGCATCCACAGAAAGCCTGAGAAAACTTGGGAAAGACTAGAGTAAAGCATTTTGGTTTTCAGCCGTAGCAGGAAAAAAGCTGCACTGTTTTAAAATGCCGGCTTTCTGGGCCGTCCAGCCAGGGAAAACTCTTTTCAAGCAGGCAGTCCTGACTATGGAAACACTGTTGCAGCTTGCTTCCTGGCAAGGACCTTGAAACGCCTTAAGAGCTTTTGACTGTTGTTTTCTCCATATTCCTTAGCAAATTAAAGACCCATGTGGTCAGAAAAAGAGAGATCTACAGTAAAGAGAGATTCAAAGAGTAAAAAAACCTCTAAATGGTTTACAATATGCTAAAAATATATGTAGGCTTAAAAAAAAGGTTAAAGCCTTAAAATAAAAAAGCAAGAGAGTAGTTGGGTGTGGGAAGGCAGAAACAGAGGGATCTCTGGGAGTTCAAGGATAGCCTGGTCTACAGAGGGATTCCAGGACAAAGATAAACAGAGAACCTGTCTCAAAAAGCCAAAAATTAAAAGTAAAAAGAAATAGAAGTTAAAATAAAGCTGCATAAAGATGGAAAATATACATAGAATCTTGATACTGTATGCTATTATGCTCTCTTTAAATTGTTTAAATGCTGAGGAAGGAGCAACAGCTGCTAAAAGATGCTTGCTTATAAATGCTGCAGAATCAATCCAAGAAAGGTATTTTGAAAATACCTTGGCTTCAAAATTGAAGTCAAAAGGTATGTTACTTTGGAGAAGGGATTTTGCTTTTGTTTCCACAGAAACGAGAGGCTCTGGATTTATTCAGAGTTAAGAAAAATCACCTTTGATCAAGGAAGGCCACCTGAAAAATCTCCAGTAGGAACAGATGGCCCAGATATCTGAGTTCTTCATCCAGAACAGGTTCAAGACTGCTGCCTGAGATGATCAAGACTCACAGGATACTTCAGTCAGGACTTGATCATAGCCCTAAATTTTCTTTAGGTCCCCATAAGATTATCAACGCCCCAAACCAGCTGGAAGTAGCCTGGAATACTACACCCACATTCCCAAAAAAAAATGGACTATGGATATTTTCCTTTTTTTTTAAAAAAAAAAGAGGGGGAAGTGGTGCGGGAGAATCGTCTATATTCTGTCAATCATGTTTTAAATAAACGCTGATTGGCCAGGCAGGAGGTGTTAGGTGGGAAAACCAGACAGGAAGTGGAAATGATGCAAGGAGAGCAGGAGAATTCTGGGGAAGAGGAAGTTGATTACTCCCACTTCTGCCCAGACTACCAAAGCAGCAGGATGTGATCTGCCAGCTGGAAAAGGTACAGAGCCACATGGCTAACATAAATCAGAAAAATGGGTTAATCAAGATGTGAGAGTTAGCCAGTAAGAGGCTAGAGCTAATGGGCCAATCAGCTTTATAACTTACGGAGTCCTTTGTGTGATTTTCTTTTGGGGGCTAAACAGCTGTGGGAACCGGGCAGGACAGAAAACACAAACAAGCAGACCCTTCATGTTACACCACTAGGTCCAGCATGGTTTTCCTTTCTGTTTATTTGGTTTTGCTTTGTTTTTGGTTATTTGAGACAGGGTTTCTCTGTGTGGCCTTGAATGTCCTGGAACATGCTATGTAGACCAGACTATCCTCAAATTGAGATCTGTCTACCTCTGACTCCCAAATGCTGGGATTAAGGATACATGCCACCACCGCCTGGCTAATCTTACTTGCTTCTTATTGTTTTCACTGCTCAGAAAAAAAAAAGAGCAGCAAGATGGAAAAACTGGTCTACAATTAAAAAAGAATCAATATTATAGAAACTTAAGCCAGGAAAAGGCTTGGGGACATCAGTATAATATGAATATTTGCAATTTACAGAAATTAAGATTATTCACTTATAAAATCTTAATCCCTCACCACTGAAGGTACAGTTTACTGGCTAGTGAGCCTGTTACTCCTTCCCAAAATAAAACCCCAAGAGCATTAGGAAGCCAGCCTTTAAGAGATTCACACCAATTTTGTCCTGTGTAAATACTAAAAGCAGGCAGTAATTATATCAACACATGCACATGAGGTTCAGTCTTTTATAGGAAGACAAATGCATTTTAAAACCTCATAAAATTTCTAAGCGTTCTACTGAACATTATTTGTAGAAAGCTGGGTATAGTGGCACAATCCTGTAATTCTAGCACCAGAGAAGCAGAGGCTGGAGGATTTGAGGAAAGCCTGCTCTACATAGCAAGTTCAGAACAAACAAAAATCAAAAAAGAAAAGGACATTTTTCCAACTAGAAGGGCAGAAAATTAGATAATATTTATAGCAGTGTTACTCTTATGACATGTTTGCTATTGGTAGGTGATCAAGTAAAAGGATTAGAAACTTTTTCAGTTTCATTATGCTGTATAAATTTATTTCACTTTAATATTAATCACATCAAACTGACTTAAAATGATCCTTTGTAAGAGAACAGTTAAGTGCTACTTTAAAGCATACTGCCCATATTCTTTAATGAGATCATTTTCTTAAATTGTATATTAAGTTATGAAATGGTAACAAAGGCAAGACATTAAATATAAATACCAAACAGGTTTCTTTTACCTCAAACCTAAGGGCTGTGGGCTAATTTTTGGCCTATTATTTGATTTTACAATGAAGTTTCATTGGAAAAGAGATATACTTGTTTAAATATCACAGTTAGCATCTGTTATTTATTCTATAAGTTAAATACGGACTAATGATGCAGCATTAGCATATGCATACTTCAGAATGATGCTAGGTGTCTTGCTCTATCACTAGAAAGGCCTTATTACCTGAGACAGTCTCTCCCTCAAAGCGTAGCTGATAACCAACAACCTCCAATGATCTTCCTGCCCACCATCCACAGCACAGTGGTTATAGGGCCATGTGGCCATACTCATCTTTACATGAATGCAGATGTGAACTCAGGAAGGGTCTCATGGTTGTGAAGCAAGCACTCTTACCTGCTGAGCCATATCTCTAGCCCCCCCACATTAAACATTCTTGTTTGTGATCTCACCGTAAGAAAAAGTATCTGGCAGAGGTACACCATGGCCAGCTAACTCTTGAAATGTCCAAAATTTATTAACACAGTTCAGGATAGCTTGAGGTCTATTCATCAGTCGGCACCCCATCTTCTCTAGGTGGCGCAAAACAGTGATATCACTATCACTCTGCACCCATGGGGTTGGAACTCTCACTACCACCACCTGTGGGTAGGCAGAGATGAGCTCTCCATTGATCCGTAGACCTGAAAAACAGAACAGCAAAGCTAAAACCACAGGAAGAAGTATGCAATAAAAGAGATAGTAGCCTCAATTCTGTAATCCTATCACTCACAAGATTGAAGGAGACTCTCCATGAGTTCAAGGTCAGGACTAGAGAGTGAGCTCCTGGTTTTTCTTTGTAAGTTCTTTATAATTAAAAAAAAAATTCAATCACAGGAGAAGGGATCGAGAGATGTTAAGAACAAGGTGTTTGTTGTGAAATTGTGTCTCCTATTAATGTCAGAAGCTCCACCCATTAAGTCTCACCAACATGGCTGTCTAAACATGAGCTGAACAAGGACAACAACAGACATGCTAATGCGGACAGGAGAGCCCAAGAGGCCTCAACCCTAAACAAGACCTATAGGCAACTAAAGAATTGAGAGCCAGAGAAAAGTCTTCCCCAGGAAGAGCACACTAATTAATTTCCCAATACCAATGGTCAGCACTAAAAACACGCGTTAAGTAACATTATAGACTGAGCAGGTTGTGTTTTGTGTATTTAGGAATATGCATGTATATATACATATATATGTACCAATAATTAATGAGGGACAATAATCTGAAAGATCAAGAAAAGATATGAGGGTTTGGAAGGAGGAAATAGAAGGAATAATGTAATTATATTATAATCTTATATTTAAATAGTATTTTTAAATGCAAAAAAGTAATAATATAAAGGAATAAGAAAATACCAAAGCAAGCCAGGCGGTGGTGATACCTTTAATCCTAGCACTTGGGAGGCAGAGGTCAGTCTGAGTTTGAGGGCAGCCTGGTCCACAGAGTTAGTTCCAGGACTACCAGATGATACAGAGAAACCTTATCTGGTAAAACCAAAATAAATAAATAAAATAAAATACAAAAGCTTAGATCTCAAAATCAAATGCACTATGTTGTTAATATTGGATTAGGACAGACATTTATCTCTTTAAAAAGAGCAAAAATTCTAACTGACTTATTAACTAAATTATACATGCCAGAATAAACAAATACACACACATACAATGTATTAAAGGGAAACTTGAGAATAAATTTATTTGCAGATATAAATACAAAATATTCTGAAAGATAAACGACCAGCTTCTGAAGGTGCCTGGGTGACAAAGCAGAGAAAGGTAGAACAGGGAATTTCAACATTGTACTCTGTACAATTTTCTTTCCACTTTGTGTTTTATGTAGGTTTTTATAAGAATTACCCCTTAAAATCTTTTGATTTTAAAATAGCAAATGTTGCTTAAAACACTCAAATATAAAACATCAGGATACATTTTACCTTCCACCCCCCATCCTGGGTGCTGTTAACTTTTTCCATGGTCATCTAAGTATATATAAAGCTCATACTTTTTTTTGGAAAAAAAATCAGAGTTTTGTATATTATTTAACATAAATTTCTCATCACTTAAAATTACATTAGAGATTTTCATTCTCAGTGGCTTTTTAATGGTTGAATTTAAAATGTCATGATTAATCCCTTCCTGAACAACTTTTCATTCTATAAATATTAAGTAATTACTACATGCTACAATTCTCCAAATTCTCAGTATAAATGAATTAAGACAGATTTTTCTTCCTTGTTCTCAAGAGTTCATTCTAGTGGGAAAAGAATTTTATGTTCCATTTTATGGTATTTAGTTACTGTAGTAAATTCTGACAGTGGTCAGTGAGGTGGTATCAACAAGGTGAGGGCAAAAACCTTGAGTGGCATTTCTGTGTTTAAAAGAAAGATACTGGGGGTGCAAGCTACAGCCAGAAATCACAAGCAAAAACAAGAACAGGTCAGGTGCTGCAACTGTGATTTATATTAGAATATAAAAATGACTGATGGCAAAAAGTAAGAAGAGAAAATAACATTTTCTAAGTTAATGAGTTTCACACTTCTCTTCAGGTGGTCACTGAGCACTGTTTATAACCCACACCTCCACCTTTTAACTTCTCCCGTGCATAAAAGGGACTTAAGATTCACCACAAAAGAATGAAATGACAAGCATAAAATCTGAAGGTGAATTTCTACATGTTCACAAATACTAATAACCTAGAATTATCTGGTAAGAGAGTCTCAATAAGGGACTGCCTGTGGGCAAATCTATGGAGAAGAACTGTCTTAATTATCTTAACACAGTAGGAAGAAAGACCCAGCTCACTAAAGGCAACACCATTCCCTAGGCAGAATTCCTAGCTGAGCACAAGCAAACAACTGAACATCCATGGATTCACTCTACCCGTGCCTGTGGGTAAGATTAGCAATTTGAAGTTCCTGCCTTGACTTGCCTCCAATGTCGGACTGAACAGCAGGCTAAAAGAAAGCTCACTTCTCCTGTAAGCTGAGGATATTAGCTGGAGTATTTTAGTATGCCAATAGAAGGGTAAGAAATAGTTTGAAGACTCAGAGACAGATGCCAAAGTATCAGATTGTAAAACACTAGGAAGTTGGGCAGAGAGGCTCACACCTGTGACCCCAGCACATGGGAGGGGGCTAAGACAGGAGAATCACCACAACTTTTAGGCTGATCTGAGCTATAAGAGCTCCAAGTCAGCCTAGGCAAGAATGAAATAGCTATGACAGTATAAGACTTTCTATGGAAAAAGCAGAGAGCATGCAGAAACAGACAGAAACAAATAAAAAGTGGTACATACTGAAAACACTAATAAAAAAGGCCTTTGGTAGAAATTTCACTATAATGGACTTAGCAGAGAAATGAATCTCAGAACTTGATAATCATGCCAATCATCCAAAAAAGAAAAATAATTTTCTTTTTCTAAAAGAGATTATCCAAAAACCATAGGAAGGCAACAAGAATTGTAATTCATAAATAGTACAAATCACATGTATCTGAAAAATAAGCATAATATTTTAAATAATAACTATGACTTTTTCTCAAATTAGTGTCAGGTGCCATTTCTGAGCAAAAAGCTCATAAAAACAGAAATATTAATACTATATAAATCACATCTAGGAGGGTCACATGTAGTACCCCATGCCACTAATCCCAACACTGAGGGGTGGAAATGGGGATCGGATGTTTGAGGGCAGTCTGGCCTACAATACTCAATATTATAATCATGTAGAATTGTGGTAGCCTGGTCTACAAGCACCCACATTACAAGCATGTAGAATTGAGGCAGCCTGGTCTACAAGAGCCCGCACCATAAGCATGCAGAACTGAGGCAGCCTGGTCTACAAGAGCCCACGTCATCAGCATGCAGAACTAAGACAGCCTGGTTTACAAGAGCCCACACCATAAGCATGCAGAACTGAGGCAGCCTGCTCTACAAGAGCCCACACCATAAGTATGCAGAACTGAGGCAGCCTGGTCTACAAGAGCCCACATCATAATCATGCAGAACTGAGGCAGCCTGGTCTACAAGAGCCCGCACCATATACATGCAGAGCAGAAATCTACCACTTGTTTGATAAGGGCTGTTTTCACTCTTCTTCCTATTGGCAGGTCAGCTGACACAGAGTCTGACTCAAGTATGTCAAGTCTGAAAACAAGGAGCTTTGTTATCAAACAGGGTGGCTTTGAGATGAATCAGGGATCCTGAAGTTAAAACCAGTCAGTAAAACTAAGAGATAAGCAGGGAAAATATAAAACTGACAGCCCAAGGACAGAAACCCACAGGCAGGTTCAGCCAACCAACTCCACTTTAGTCTAACAGTAGTTTTCTTTTGTTGCTTTGTAATTAATATACTGAGGAAAATGTTCCAAAGGAAATAAAAAAGAGAAAAGAGTTCTTGAAAGCTGTTTCATCACCTTCCTACAAGAGGATGACATTTAATATAGTATACAAGGCTGAAGAGTTGCTCAGCAGTTAAGAATACTTGTTACTCCTCTAGAGGACCAGGGTTCAATTTCCAGCAGCAACATAGGATCCAAAGCACTCTTCTGACCTCCACAGACACCAGGCATACACGTGGCACACATACATACATAAATGCAGACAAAACACCCACAAAATAAATATAAAAAATGTAGAAGACTAAAAATGGAGACTGGAGAGATGGCTCAATGGTTGAGAACACTGGCTGCTCTTCCAGAGGACCTTAGGACCTGAGTTCAACTCCCAGCACCTACATGGTGGCTCATAACCACCTATAATGGGATCTGATGCCCTCTTCTGGCTTGCAGGTATGCATGCAGAACACTCATGAATTTAAAAAAAAAAAAAGACTAAAAATGTCTACATCCCCAAGAAGTCCATAAATGAAGGATCCCTGCCCAAGGAATGGCCCTGCTAACAGTTCATGTGGGTTTTAACAGATGAACTAGCCTAGTTAAGAAGGTGCCTCACAGGAATGCACAGAAGCACGTATTCTGGAAAATTCTAGGTCCCGTGAAGCCAACAACCAGAGTGATGTTCAAGTCTACCTCCCAAATTTTGGTTGCTTAGCAGACATTTTTTAAAGGTTAGAACACCGAAGGCTACCACCTGGTTTTCTTATTTTTGTTTAATATTTATTTATTTTTGTTTGCAGAGACAGGTTCTTTCTTACTCTGTAGCTCATACTGGCCTCACCTATAATGAACCACCATGTCCAGGCTATTTTCTGAACACATGCAAAATATTAGAAATACATCTATCACCAGTTGAATCAAATCTTGTTTTTTTGTTTGTTTGTTTGTTTGTTGTTGGTTTTTGGTTTTTTTTTTTTTTTTGAGACAGTGTTTCTCTGTGTAACAGGTCTGGCTATCCTGGAACTCTCTTTGAAGACTAGGCTGGCCTGGAACTCATGAGATATGCCTTCCTCTGCCTCCCGAGTGCTGGGATTAAAGGTGTGCACACTGCTGGGTTTTTTTTTTTAAATAACAAGTTATTTCAATGAATGCTGTAGATATTATGTAAGAAAAATGAAAATAAGAATCACATGGAAACTAATTAATCAACACAATTCCCACTGGTTAATTACAAATTTTCTTACCAGTACTTTAGGGATTTAAAGTTTGTAGATAAGTTAAAAAAAATTAGTTTTTTTAAAGACACAGTTTCTCAACCGGGCAGTGGTGGCACACTCCTTTAATCTCAGTACTATGGAGGCAGATGCAGGTGTCAATCTGAGCTCTAGGCAAGCCTGGTCTACAGAGTGAGTTTCAGGACAGCAAGGGCTACACAGAGAATCCCTGTCTCAAGGGAAAAAAAATAAGACAGGAGTTAAAGACATATAAAAACTACAAAGTCATTTTTTAAGATTTCCTTTCCACTCTTTCATACATAAAACAATTTAGGAAATACTAGTGCTCCTATGTCTCTGTGAGTGACGGCACTTATGATAAAGCTGTTAGGACTTCACTTCTCATTATTCCAGAAATTTAAACATACCACATTCTAAGCAAAGTCTGAAAGAGTACTTATAGTCTTACCCAGATTTCCTTGCTCAACTGTCAGCACCACCTCGTCCATCACTACAGCCCTGAAGTCCAGTTCCTCCTCACAACATTTGGCCTTCAGAGCACGTAAGATCTCTTTCTGCGGATAGTCTTCTTTGATCCGTCGATCTGTCAAAAACCACAGCTTGGCAGTCACGGAGCTACACATCTCGATCTACTTGCTGTTCCTTTTCTGGATTACTTGAATGTAAACTTTTATCTAGATGGAAAAGAAAATACACATGAGATTGATAAAATCATAAAGACTTCATGATTTCAAATAAATGTGGTTTTATGCTAATTAAACAAACAAGACATGGAGAGAAATACTTGGGGAAGTAGAGGGAGGGGCAGACACAGGAGGATCAGGAGCTCAATATTTAGCTGTACAGAGAATTTAAGGCCAGCCTCAGTAACCCTATTTAAATAAAAAACAAAGGAGAAATACTATTCCTTCTCTTCAATGGTATACCACTAAAAATCCGAACATCCTCAACAAAGATCTCTCCATCTTCCCCTGAGAAAGCTGGCAGTACAACAGGTCACAAAGCATACTTCCATTACAATTTCCCTATATTAATATATTCTGTCCAGGAATATACTTAATCTGATTGCTTATTTCTATTTTCACTATTTCATCCTTCTGTTAAAATTCCAATTCTTGGAGGCAGTAAAGATGGCTCAACAGTTAACACTTGTTACTGTAGATAACCTGAGGTCAATCCCAGCATCCACATGCTGGCTCACAACCATCCACAATTCCAGTTCCATTTAACACTCTTATGACCTGGTGTCACATGTGGGCAACAGGCATGCACATAGTACAAATATGTACATGCAAGCAACACATTCATATGCATAATAATCCTAAAAAATTAATATAAAATCAATTTCCCTTCCTGGCATAAAATAGGTGTTAAAAATCATTGACAATATTTGGGGCTGGAGAGATGGCTCAGTGGTTAAGGGCACTGGCAGCTCTTCCAGGACCAGGATTCAATTCCCAGCCCCAGAATGGCAGTTCACAACTGTCTATAACTCCAAGATCTAACATGCTCACACAGACATACATGCAGACTGAACACCAATGCACAAAAGTAAAAATAAATTTTTCTTCATCGAAGACAAAAGACAAAACAAAAAACCATCGACAATATCTTACTTTCCCATCAATAGATGGGAAACTTACTAAGTTTATTTTATCTGCATATTTAAAATTTCTACTGCTTTACTGTTATGTAGATAATAAAATATATGTATTACTATACAAGCAAACACTAGCATTTTAGGAATAATTTCAATAAAGAGATTTTAATAAAAATTAAAAAAAGAATGAACCAAGAAGTCTCTACATAATGCAAACAAATGCTGTATTTGTTCATCACTGTGTGCCACTATTTCAAGGACAGCACACTTACTCTGTGTTTGTATCCCTTCTTTAAATAAACATTTGAAACAAACATATTTTACTAAGAATGCAAAAAAGAGAATGCCTTTCCCAGAGTGCTACTTCTCAGTCTGAATCATGAGACACAGTTGAAAAGTGTCTTTCTGAAAAGCAAATAGTTTACTGCTCAAACACAATTTGATAATAAAGCAGGGAAAGCTTACAAGGTATTTTTTAAGTCAAGTAGATCTCTGTGGGTTTTAGGCTAGCCTGGGCTACACAGTGAATTCTAGGCTACCCGGGGCTACAAAGTGAAACCTTATCTCACCCCAACACTCCCAAATTTGACAAAACTCTAATAAACTTTGAGAAGAGCTGCCCCTTAAAAGAGAAGGTTACCTCTAGATCCCAATCCCAGCCATAGTCCTCACTTCTAGAGCACATCTACAGATGCCCCAAGCCCTTATAGTAAAGTGTGAAGTATTCTGTATGCCTGCATCCATCCTCTTGTATACTTTACATCACCTCTAGACCAAATACAGTGCAAATGCACATAAATGCCTGTACTGTTTAAAAAGCAAGAAAAAAAAGCCTACAATTGTTCAGTAAATATTCTTGGTTAGGAGAAATCACTGATACTGAGGTATGACGGTTGAAGTGTCATGCCCAGTGGCATGGAAACCAACCCAGAACAAAGGTCCAGGTTGGAAGAAGGCAAGGCATGGTGGATCAGCAACTTTCTGATCTCCCAGATACCAGCTAAAAAGGACACAGTATACACACTCAGTACTTTGGCTTGCCACACCTACCAACCTGACACACCCACTTATGCCTAAATTGCCTACACCAACCATTTCCTCAAAGGTCTCAGCCAACCGTTCTATTAATAACTCAATTTAGGCTAAGAAGAAATCCAGCCAACAATACCACACCATCCCCAATTTTGGCAAATTATAAATTACAATGATTGTGCTAGTTAGAAGATAATCACCTATTACAACAGAAATACAAAATGTTTTATTTTCCCCATATGGGATACCCTATACAGCCTACAAGGTACAAACTTATGTTTCCTTTCCTTAAACAGAAAGAGTTTTTGTATGGTTTTTTTTTTTTTTTTTGAGACAAGGTCTCACTATGTAGCCCAGAAACCTAAAACACAATTCTCCTGCAAAACTTTTCAAGTGTTGGGATTAAAAGCACGCAACTAGGTCTAGCCAAAACATCCTTTCCACAAAGCTTAAATTTTTGTGTTGTTTTTTGTTTTTTCAAGACAGGGTTTCTCTGTGTAGTCCTTGCTGTCTTGGAACTCACTTTGTAAACCAGTGTGGCCTCCAACTCAAGAGACCTGCCTGCCGCTGACTCACGCTGCCTCAAAAGTGCTGGGATTAAAGGCGCGCACCACCGTACCCAGCTACAAACATAAAGATTTTTACATTAACCATAGTTGTGGAAAAATACAAAGCAAACCTACACTGTTGTCATCTTCACTGAAGATGTTTTCTCTTTTTAAAAAAAAGATTTATGTATTTATGCATTCATACAGTATCCTGCCTGCAGGCCAGAAGAGGGCACCAGATCTCATTACAGATGGTTGTGAGCCACCATGTGGTTGCTGGGAATTGAACTCAGGACCTCTGGAAGAGCAGTCAGTGCTCTTGACAGCCGAGCCATCTCTCCAGCCCCACTGAAGATGTTTTCTGAAGTGTTATGCTGCACTCTTCCCTGTGGACAACCACATAAGGCCAGCCAAAGTGTGTAGCCAACCCAGCAGTGTATTTGCTGCAGATGGCACAAGTGCTCACTAGGAAATCATGATCACACAGGGCTTTCATGGTTACAAGATAAGGGCTCACTCAGAAGGTGAAGACACAAGAACTCACACAGAACAACTGAGACAGTCTTAGTTTTCCTGAGCAAACAACACTTGTATTCACTGTTTTTATTCCAGAACCATGTCTCACACTTGGGTTCTTGAACCTCATATTTTCAGGGATGACTAATTTTACTGTATGATGAACTTTCCACTAAGTGATAACTGCTGCCCCAATCATAATAAATTGTTACTGGGGAAGCAGAAACATTTTGTCAATAGTAATGTCAACTGCTGTAAATCACAGGAGATAACATAATTTTTCAGTAACTATATATAAATAAAATATTTTCCTTTAAGAAAAAAATTGGCAACACATTTTCCATAAGAAGTCTCTAGAGGCTAGAGAGATGACTCAGAGGTTAAGAGTACTGGTTGCTCCTGAGTTCAATTCCCAGCAACCACATGGTGGCTCACAGCTATCATATAGTGATTAGGTGCCCTCTTCTGGTATGTAGGCATACATGGAGGCAGAATGTTATATACACAATAAATAAATCTTTTTTAAAAAGTCTCTAGATAGCAGGTATTGTTGAAGATGCATGACCTTACATTTGTTGAGCATCCCCAACCAGACACCTGTTACCCAGGCTAGACCCCAAAAAGTCTCAGCACAGGCAGATAGGAACCTTTGTGAAGAGTATCACAGGGGTGCTGCTACACACTTAGCTTCATGACCAGAAAAACAGCAGGTGTGTAAGTATGGAAGGCACACACAGTTCTCAACAGTGTATACAGTTAGGAATGGTCAATGTATTACCTCTAAGTCCTATAGCTCATTCTTTGATCCTAAGCAGGGAAAGGGTCCATTTCTGCCTCAAGGGCTCAAGACTCTGCATGCCATGTCCATGGAATACCCAGATTTACTGTCTTTCTGATGGCAAAGTGACTTTACCAGCTAAAGCATCTCACTGGCCTCAATATTTACTATTTTAAAAGAGTGCCTGTAAAATAAAATGGTTAGTTTTCCTAGCATTTGTGTGTGTGTGTGTGTGTGTGTGTGTGTGTGTATGTATGTTTTGGTTTTTTGAGACAGGGTTTCTCTGTAGCTTTGGAGCCTGTCCTGGACCTAGCTCTTGTAGACCAGGCTGGCCTCAAACTCACAAAGATCTCCCTGCCTCTGCCTCCCGAGTGCTGGTATTAATGGCATGCGCCACCACCGCCCGGCAGTTTTCCTAGCATTTAAAGGAGCTTGCTTATCTAATAAAATCCGTGAGAAAATACAGTTGCAAGGTAAATGGAAAGTCAGGAAATGTCTAAAAGCATAGTATCGCCTGTTGTAGGGAGCCGCTTGTTGGTTCCCAGTTGCCTGGCTAGCTTAGACCCAAAATAATCACACAGAAAGTGTATTATTTAAATCACTGCTTGGCCCATTAGCTCTACCCTCTTATTGGCTGACTCTTACATATTAATTTAACCCATTTCTATTCATCTGTGTATGGCCACATGGCTGTGGCTTACTGGCTAAAGTTCTTGCATCTGTCTCCAGTGGGGCTACATGGCATCTCTCTGCCTCTGCCTCCCAGCATTCAGTTCCATCATCCCTGCCTACCTAAGTTCTGCCCTGCTATAGGTCCAAAGCAGTTTCTTTATTCATTAATAGTAATCACAGCATACAGAGGGAAATCCCACATCAATCCTCGTTTTAACAGAATCTCACTGAATAGCCTCCAGCTAGCAATCTTTCCATCTCCACAATACTATGAAGACAAGTGTGCACCATCAAGTCTACGCCACCACAGTGTGCACTACCACCGTCTACTCATTTCTTCTTATAGTGTAAACACAAGTCAACTAATTCTGATCACATTTTAAAATTTCTTTTAAAGTATCAAGGAAAATAATGTATAAATACCAAGTTATAAACTCTGGTCTCAATTTAATTTAATTTTAGTGTGCAAGAATGTTTGCCTTCATGTTTATGTACACCAAACCCATGTCTGGTCCCTATGGAGGCTAG